CGTTACGAGCATTTTCGTTCGCCATTACCGGCTCTCAGCGGCAATTATTTTTCTTTTTTGAAATGTTTTCACTATGTGGCGCTACCTATCCACTCATGAAATAAAACCACGCTACTCTCACGTAGAGAAGTCTGGTTTGAATAAGGCTTTTTAGGTGATTAAATTTTTTTAATTTTATATCTCAGGGATCCATAACGTAAAATTACTCAAACACCCACAACTGTTCTGTATAAAACCTGTTTACAAATCTCATTATACGTCTAGTGGAGAGCGTGCCGAACTGCAGATTTTTCACCTTTTGGCCGTTATAGAAATAACAGTCAATCCCGGTTTTAGGGAGATATAAGAACTGATTGCCCTCTTTCTAGTCTGTATTTATATATTAGGTGCAGCTATGCCTGAACCTTAAGGTATCTGACTTAGCCAAGTGAAATGTGTTGCATAAGATACCATTCAGGTTGAAAATACTAAATAAGAAATCCAATTTTCATATAATTATGACTATTTTGCATAGTTTTTTAGGGGGAGGGTACTGAGGAGGATTTTTGGTTTGCTAAGGGGGGAGATGGGTAATTATCGTTGTCAGAAAGCTTAGTGGAGGTATTTTAAATGGTCAGTTTGTACGTATACTTTTAAAAAGTTATATTGTACATTAACACACAAAATGTGTTATATCAATGTAAATTGTGTTTCCCAAAAACAGATTTGTACGAGTTATTACACTATCAATTGTTGTAATAATATAAAAACACAAGTTTTGTGTGTTTTCTAACGACATTAGTGGCGTACAGTTTTCAATGCGAAATTTTGTATATTTGAATACATTTGTTTTGTGGTGTCACATTTCTGTTACGTGTATGCAGATTGTATAAAATTCAAGAGAACACACTTGTGTTCTATTTTGTTAGTGCACAATGATTGTGTATGTTTTAAATTGAACTTTGAGTTGCAGCCAATTCAAATACCTGGCTTGTGTGTCCACGTTATTTTTGACACTAGTTTTTTACAGCGTATTTTGAGATATAAAAGCAAAATCAAGATCTGCACAAAATCACAGCGAGTTCAGTGGAATTGCATCTTCAAAATGGCGTTGATGTGAACCTAATGAAGTCAAAACAATATTTCTAGCCTAACTATAACTTTCAAGAGATTTTTTACACTATATTTCGATTTATTTATGACGTTTTTAGGTAAAGTGTTATATTTTGAGTAACAATCCAAAACAGAATGCTCTCTTATGTGACTGCTATAAACTAATAAGTACAAAAACGTTTCCTGTGTTGATGTGCTAAGCTTACGATTTAAATCAAGCTTGTTCAATTAAACGTATGTTTTACAAGCTTTACCTCTTGTACTCTTCCAACTGAATCTGGCCCCCGTGTTTTCTTCAACTTGCTGTGGTATCACCCCAAATTAGTTACTGTTGAAAAGCGTGGAAATTACAGTTTCATTTACAGTCAACATTCTTCAGTCAAGTCAAATTTAAACGATTACTTGCTTTGTAAGGGCAATAATATACTATAGCAGCTCAAAACTATACACCAGGTTGAAAATTGAAAAATAAACGACATGCGAGAAAACAAAAACATGAATATAATGTACTTTATTTTGTAAAATAGAAACAAAAATTAGACCGACATTTGTAATTATTAAACTAATTAATTACGTTTAGACTAAGGACACATATTTTTCAGTTGTTAACGAATTGTAATCTGTTTTGCCGTTGCAGGTTTTTTTTTTCATTAAAAAATTAGGAATTAAGATTCTTAAAAAGGTAAAATTATATAGGTGTAGTTATCTCAAAATTACCTTTCTGTATCTCAGGCCTGTTTTAAGCAGAAATAATAGATGTGTTATGTCTGTGTTGGGGTACCGTCTGTATTAGGTTCACTCAGTGGTATCTATACCCCAAAATGGAGTCAGGACACCCTAGTCTCTTAAAATTATGGAATTATCCTATCTGATTAAGAAAAGCCACACTATGATAAAACTTTTACAGAAATATTTTTCCAAACAGTTTTATATTTTAGGCCATAATGGTGAGCCAATAAAACATACTTTTAGAGGAATATTTTTCCAAACAGTTTTATATTTTAGGCCATAATGGTGAGCCAGTAAAACATATTTTTAGAAGAATAGTTTTCCAAACAGTTTTATATTTTAGGCCATAATGGTGAGCCAATAAACATACTTTTAGAGGAATATTTTTCCAAACAGTTTTATATTTTAGGCCATAATGGTGAGCCAGTAAAACATATTTTTAGAATAATATTTTTCCAAACAGTTTTATATTTTAGGCCATAATGGTGAGCCAGTAAAACATACTTTTAGAGGAATATTTTCCAAACAGTTTTATATTTTAGGCCATAATGGTGAGCCAATAAAACATACTTTTAGAGGAATATTTGAACTCAAAACTGTTTTTTTCAATATTAGTCAACCACATTTCGGGGCTTGTTTGCCAAATTAGCCACTAGGGTGCATGTAAAACAAGAGGCGTATCGTTTCTAGGAAATACAGAAATGAAACCTAAAAGTATTTAAAGATATAAATATTATAATGTGATAATAATACCTCATTCATTTAATTGTTGTTAGTTGTATATGTAGCATTGTATACACATTATATGTGGTGTCCAACAAATTTTATACTTTTTTACTGGTTTTTCTGTGTAATAATTTATAAACATATTATTTTAAACATAATGAAAAAATACCCAGGACCAAAAAGAAAAGTTGTCCATCATAAACAGGGTAAGGCTAAAAGAACTTGCCCCAAATCTTGAGAAATAGCATACAAAACTGTTATTTAGTGAAATTTAACAAATGCAAATTTAAATGATTACGAAAGAGCATGCGTTACCAGGTGAACGAAATTAACCATTAATATCTTAATAATATATTATAATACTAAATAAAATCCTAGGAGCAGGTTACTTTTGCCTCACCCTATACATAAATTTTTACTAACAAACTATTAACATATAATAAACTTTGTTAGACACCACTATCAGACTGGTCCACCTGTAATGCCCCCCCCCCCCAGTAGCACAGCAGCATATTCGCGGACTTACAACGCTAGAAACCGGGTTTCGATACCCGTGCTGGGCAGAGAATAGTTAGCCCATTGCGTAGCTTTGTGCTCAACTACGAATAATAATAATTTTTATGTAATATGCGTTATAACGTCTCATGGTTGTTATATTCTACTGATCTGATATAAAGAATGTACTTGTTATATATGACATCCGTAAGGTTTCTCCAGTTTTTTGTGGATTTATATGCAAGAATGCATGTGAGTTATAAGTGATGTTTTATTGTTGTTTATTATTTTATATGTACGAATGTATAGACGTGGTATAAAATGTGCAAAGTTTGTTACTTATTTATGCACATGTATTTTTTTTTTCGTATTTTTATCCGCTACTAAAGCACGTTCTTCACTGGCGCTATATTGTCTTATATTTCAGCTGATGCAACATTTTGCCTTTGCAGAAACGTAACGCTAACCTTAAGATCATCGATTTCCAGTTAAACAAATAAAATACATTTAGGCTGTGTGTCTAGATTCGAGAATCTCCTCTAGATGGCGGTAGAGAATCGGGACAGAAACTTTACTAGAATAACAAACAGTAAAAAATCCTATTACAACCTAAGTAATAATAATACAAAAAAGACGTAATTTGACTGCATTAAACAGAAAAAGGTTTCTGAAATTTAAACCGAAGAAACAAGTAACTCAATCATGTGAGAAAGTATATTTCTAGATAGACCAATACCAACTGAGGCAGATAGACTCAAATTCCGTAAAGTTGCTAACGTTTTGTGGTATACATTTCTTATTACAACAACTTGGACATTTTTAGAATATATTAATCTAGTTTTGTCTTTAAGTACACCAGTTACCTTCTCAGATCATGCGTTCTGTTTAACCTCGGTTAAGTTGAAAGGGCATAATTTCATAATTTATCCTTTTTCCTTCTTTAATCTAGTTTTATGCCTTGTCTTTAATTACACCAGTTACCTTCTCAGATCATACGTTCTGTTTAACCTCGGTTAAGTTGAAAGGCATAATTTCATAATTTATCCTTTTTCCTTCTTTAATCTAGTTTTATGCCTTGTCTTTAATTACACCAGTTACCTTCTCAGATCATGCGTTCTGTTTAACCTCGGTTAAGTTGAAAGGCATAATTTGATAAATTATCCTTTTCTCTCCTTTTTATGAAATGCAAAATTAAGTTTACGAACTCTTTACAAAACAATATGACTTTAGGTTTTTAGTACAGTTTTTACATACATATGCATAATATTACAAAGCGTTAGAGAGGAAAAGGCAGGCCCTCAACGTAATTTACTAGTACCTGTGTGACTTCAGCAAAGAAATGTAACCTTTGGTAACCTGAGTTTTCTTTTCTTTTTTGTTAGCTGTCAAGTAATTTTATAGAATACGTATTGCTTCTACTATTTTGCTGACTATTTCCAGCCGTGCTCAATTACTCAAGCTTGAGTAAGGAAGCATATTATGCTAATATAATAATAAGTTGATAAACAGCAGTTTACAAACATAAACAGATCGAAACATGCAGTACATTTCCCCCAAAATAAATCACTCCATTTTGCTTATAAATCGTTGTTTGCCATCTTATTATTACTCACGCTTCATAATCTTTTTTTTTTCAATATATCATTTCAACTTCTGACTTAATCTTGCTCACACAGAGAATACTTTAATAATGTCCACCCTCGTACTTTGTTCTCTAACTGTGTAAAATTATGCACACAACAACTGTTAATAGACATGTAAATTAATATCAGTGCATTATTCTGAGTGTGTGCTTTTATATACTTATTATCATTTCTATTGCAGAATAATTAGGCTTAGAATATTTGTTGTTTTTTTGTTGTTGTTGTTTATTTTTTTTAGAGCATGATATTTATATGATGATTAAAGAATCCTGATGTTACTTAGACATTTAAACAAAACAATTCACTCACTCCCAGCATGTGAGGGGGGGCACCAAGAAACAGTCACTCTGGCGGCCCGAACTGTATTTCCCACCTCCTGGAAAAGCTCCGCCCCGGTTCTGGAGGTTTGACGGCGGAAACACTTCGACCTCTTGGTGGTGTTCGTGTTCGCTGGGGTAAGGCTCCATATACTCGAGCGTTAGAGCTTAGTGCAAGTCTGCGTCTCATCGCATGGCTTCGTCGTAATCGACGTCACGTCCAATAAGCTCCTGGGCCGAAATGTTTTGTGCAAGGACTTGCCTTTGCACTTTCGTCATCGCACAGGCAGCCAATCAGCAGAGAAGAGAGAAAGCTATCTATCAGCGCCATGATGGTGAGCTGTCGGTCTAAAGCAAGGCCGGCTTGTCAGCAATGCAGAACGCATATGACGGGCTTGGCACTGCGAGACAGATCAGCGGGACCCATGCCTCCCGAAGCATGGAAACTGGTTTATCCAATCTGTATAACGGCACAAGTAACGTGGCTTCTTTAACGAACAGACTCGGTATTACCAGCAGAGAGATGCAAGTGGCCGGCTCTCAAGGCGGCTACGCGCGAGAATCCCCGGAGATGAAGTACATGCCGCCGCAGCATCAGGGTCAAAACGGACATGCTCTCGGGCCCCACCATCAATGGGTTAGTCTACCTTCTCATAATGACCCTTCGGGCTGGTCGTCCAGCATGCATCATCATGGGCTGCACTCACAGGACATCAAGCCTCTTCACCATTCGGGGTCGGAGCTACATCACAGCTCCCTGACCCATCACCGTCCGCCGCAGCACATGACAGCCTGGCACCCGTCCTCCCTAACGGGTCAGCACATGGTCGGAATGTCCCCATCAACTAACGGCTCACCGCCTCTTCAACACCCAGCTTACACCATGAACGGGATGCTCACCCACGGTGGGGCACAGATCCACCCGGCGATGAGGGAAGTTCCCCAGCATCTGGCTGGTGCTCATCACCCTCAAATACAACACAACCTGCACCAGAGTGACAATGGACTCCACCGGATTCATCTGGATAATGACGAACCTGGAATTATTGAATCACCACCACCTTCCTCGGATGACCTGGAAAACTTTGCTAGACAATTTAAACAGCGCCGAATCAAGCTTGGATTCACACAGGCGGACGTGGGGCTGGCGTTAGGCACCCTTTACGGCAACGTCTTTAGTCAGACTACAATCTGTAGATTCGAAGCTTTGCAGCTCAGCTTCAAAAATATGTGCAAGTTGAAACCTCTGCTTGCTAAATGGTTGGAAGAAGCAGACAGCACCACTGGGACTCCGACGTCTATTGACAAAATAGCCGCTCAGGGCCGTAAAAGGAAAAAGCGAACGAGCATAGAGGTGAGCGTAAAAGGTGCATTAGAAAATCACTTTCACAAACAGCCCAAACCTTCGGCGCAAGAGATCACCACCCTCGCTTGTAGCCTAAAGATCGACAAGGAAGTTGTACGGGTCTGGTTTTGTAATCGCCGACAGAAGGAAAAAAGAATGACCCCTCCTGTAAGTACAATGGGTCGGAACAACGACACCAACCAAACCGGACCACTAACAGTGTCTGCCAACAATAACAGCGAGATACTGATAAGCCATTCGGACGGCGGTCCCCATGGTAGCAGTCCGCAGCGCCTCCACAACCACTCTCACAGTCCACCCATGTTGCACTCTCCCACCCGTCACCCAGCTGGCCATTCAATTCATTCTGTCGGACAGTCGCTGACTGCCCACTGACTGACAGGTTTTCGGACATTAAAAACCAGCAGCGAACAACCTTGATATTCCATTTGTTATTTGTGTATCTGAGTGTATAAAACTGAACCTGATCAGCTGGTGATTGACTTGTATAGAATGAACTTAGAAAATGCTCGCCCCAACCCTAAGTGGTAGTAAATAAAACATTGTTTTATATCGAGCATATATCAAATCTTGTGCATAGCTGTGTGTGAGACTATTATAGACAGACAGGGCACGCCGAAACTAGTCGCAGATCGAAGGAAATGGGGGTGAAGGTAGGACGTTCCTTTCTATTTAAGGTTTGTGGGTAAGCCTATAGCATCAATATGAGTGTCATTTACTATCTAGCCTCGAATTACTCTGGTCTCCAACAACTGTAAAAAATCAAATCAAAGCGAATTATTGTTTTGTACATTTTGCATTAACGTTTCAAATCCCCTGACCCTTAGTAGTTTATGTAAATATTGGAAGGTACCCTCGAAGCTACACAAGATTACTGTTTAGTAAAGATTCATTTTATCTAAAAATAATTTATGGATTTTAACACTGAAATATTCGTATCACTCGGGACCGCTTACAAGTACTATACTATAAAAATATTCTAAAACGAGGTTTTTGTTTTTCGCAGAAATAAGAGGAGAAACGTGTTATTATTATTATATACTTCTGTTATGATGTCTCATAAATAAACAACTTCTAAGATAACCTATAACGGTTTAGGAACTTCGATTTGGAAATTAATCACTTAAAGTTATCAAAGAAAAAAAACATTACTCCTAAAATTATTGTTACATCCTCCTCATCCGGGACACTGTTTTGTGGCCTTGCAGGAAACATTGCAATAGCCAGATATAGTAACACCGTAACGTTTTCTTCCAGATGTCATTGCTATGAAAATGTTAGTTGAACGTAATTTTCGGAAGTACTTTTTAAAGAAAGGGAAACGTTCATCTATGTTAATAAGATGAATGCTGTCAAACCACCACTAACAACAATAATGATTAATGTATAGTAATGCCACATGTCTATCATGTTCGGCAGAAACAGCAAACCACCACTAACAACAATAATTTTTAATGTACAATAATGCCACATATTTATCATGTTCGGCAGAAACAGCAAACCACCACTAACAACAATAATGATAAATGTATAGTAATGCCACATGTCTATCATGTTCAGCAGAAACAGCAAACCACCACTAACAACAATAATTTTTAATGTACAATAATGCCACATATTTATCATGTTCGGCAGAAACAGCAAACCACCACTAACAACAATAATGATAAATGTATAGTAATACCACATGTCTATCATGTTCAGCAGAAACAGCAAACCACCACTAACAACAATAATTTTTAATGTACAATAATGCCACATATTTATCATGTTCGGCAGAAACAGCAAACCACCACTAACAACAATAATTTTTAATGTACAATAATGCCACATATTTATCATGTTCGGCAGAAAC